GTCCTCTCCGCGGGCCCCTGGGTGGGGGGACAGTGGGGGAATGGCTGTGTTGGCTGCTGGCCAAGGGCCAGCTCAGTGACACTATCACACAGACAAAATACAAACCTAGCACTTCTCATCATAAAAAGTTTAAAATGAAGTTTCGAAATGTTTAATGAGCCAGATACTTTGGTCGCTGCCTTATCTGGTATTTAAATGAGAGGCTCAGATCTGTGCCTGTTTGCAATAACACCTGCACAGTTTGGGTCCATCCCCGCTCTTACCTTTATCTGTCACGAGTTACAAGTTCTGGAAGGAAAATATGTGCATGCAAACAATGCTTGATAGCTAATTTTTGACATATTTCTAATAAATGATGATATAGAAACAGTCCCTGCACAGAAGATTGGGTTGTCAATTATTTAAGGCAGAATGAATTATTTATTAGTTATTAGCAGCTGGTCAGGAGCCTGCTAAGCTGCTGTCAATGCTGGGCAAGACATTTGTAATTCTGAGCAGCACAAAATGTTTGGTGATTTCACAAACTAATAATAAACCACCAAAGATCCAAACTCAGGCTAATCCTAAGGCGTTACTTTCAGTCATCACCATGTTTTAATATTCAGTTCATTGCATTTTGAGCAAATTCCCTTCAGTGTTTTAGCTTACAAAAAGAAAAAAAATCCAAAAATCAAGCCACCTCTGCTCTTTTGGCTTTAACTTTCCATTCTGCCTTTAGTGAAATGGAATTCCATTATGAAAATGAAGTTCTCTTTCATGAATCAAAGCCATACAAACAGGAAAATACATATTTTTTTTTAAATAAATTAATCACTGTAGGAAGTGCTAACTTCTTGGTGTCTAACTATGTAACATGGAAGCACAGTTACCACAGCATTCCTGGAGATGATATTTTTAAGAAGTAATTTGGTTTTGATACATACTCCCAGTAAAAGCAGCATTCTCCTGAATACACACTTCAGATGAATTACTGAGTCACATATTCACAGGGTCATTAGTTCAATCAAGTACAGTATTGCCCCCAAATTTGCAATCAGCAAACACATACTTCTCTGATACCAATTACCAGTAAAAACACTTTGAAAATGGTATTGCAAAGCTTGCAATAAACCCATGAGCAACTCAGCACTGAAATAATTAGTGAATCTTTAATGTGTTGATTTATAAGGGGCTATTAATAACCCAGGAAAATGTTTTTATTTGTTTAAAAGTCATTTGCTCTCAATGGTAGGGCTTGCTATTCCACCTAAGTGAGCTCAGGGTGGCAGGGAGCACCCAGACTGTCATCGCCAGCGTGTCTCCGTCCTGGTGAAGGCAGCTGGCTTCACAGCCAGCTTTTTCAGCTCAAATTCCTCTGCCACAGGGAATTCTCAGCTGGCCAGCTGTGAATAGCAACCAACTCAACAAATTCTGAATGGTGCAGAGCAACCAAAGAAAGAGCTCATGGATGTACGGCTATTGCTTTAAAAACAGCTCCCACCAGAACAACAGATGCTATTTTATATAGCTCCTCCATAGTTCTATTTCCTAGAAATCAAATTTAAAATGAAAATACCATTACACAACTCTGACTGCAGCATTCAGCTCTCTGATGATTTTTGGTCATACATAAGTAAAGGAAATTACATACATAAGGAGCTTAAACACAACTTGCTGATCCAATTTGTTAAATTCCCAAGTGCGTTACTGGGGATGTAAAGTTTTGCTACATATAATTGACTGAAAATGTTTCTATCCCTAAGCATAAAGACAGCAATTTTATATAAAGCTTACCTGAAGTTCTGTGCCAAATCCAGATGAAAAGTTTCCACGGAGCTGAAATGGAAAAGCATTGATATCAGAAAGAAAGTTAAAGCAATAAACAAAGCATCCTGCCAGAACTGCAGTTAGCATTTTCCACTTTTCTATTATGTAGGACCAATAATTGCACTGCACACTTGATCAGCATCAGACAAACTTTGTTTGAACACGACTTATCTGCACTTTTTGCTTCGAAGAAGAAACCACAGTCAGACACAGAGCTGCAAACACCTCTAAGGGGCAACCCATGAGAATGCAGTCAAGGTGATGCCTGGAATGAGTAACTTAAACAAATCCCATCTTACCTGGGCAACATGGAAATGCAATTTCAGAACTCTCAAACTCTGCTATGCCTTCATCTTATCTGACCTCACAATATAAAAATAAAAAACCAACAAACAAACCAAACCCTAAAACACCCCCCCAGCCCCCAATAAATATAGAGCCTATTATTGAAAATGCCATTACAGAAAATAAGTAAATAGTTCAATCAATTATTCTGTTTACTTGCATTACAATTTCTCTACCACAATCAAGTATTACAACTCTCAGGATTAGTTACTTTTGGAAAAAGAAGTAAAGAGATGTGCAGAATGGGTTTGCCTGTGATCCATACAAAGCTGCAGTTACCACTGTGACAAAAAATATTATCCAGACTAATTATAAGAGAGGAACAAAACAAGTAATTATTAACAAACAAAAGTTATGGGTCTCACTAATTCAACCTGTATTATTTTTGCTCACGATCAATTCTATAAATCACGTTATCAGATCTGCAGTTGAACAGCTCTGTCTATTACTTTAAATATTCACTTTTAAAAGATGAAATAACAACATATTCCATGATTCCTGTACTTCACCTGTTAATGGTCATTGCTATTCAAACCACAGGCAAAAATATGCTAGCATTAGCAAAATTTCTGAAGAGAAATGTTTCTTTAACATTCATACCACCGTCTGCAAAAGCTGATGCTATGAACTGATAGGACATCAAGGTCTCCACCTCTCCGGTGAGGAACAGTCTTTCCCAGTCCCTTAACAAAGCTGAACTGCGGTGAAATACCCCAAGTTTTGTGTCTGTCTTTCTGCACAAAGTCTTAAGACAGCAGAGCATATGCACAAGCTGATTCAGCAATCACAATGAGAAACTGCTCTAGAATTTTGTCTTTGAAGAAGGAATTAGGAGTTACAATTATAGCACCAAGCCTTCTGATTTTCTTCTGTGACAAGATGCCTCAGACACGGACGCACGGAGGTTCTGTTCAATCACTCAGGGAACATCAACCACTATGGTACCTTTTTTTATGCTTTGGCTTGACTGCCAAAGCCTTTGGATGAAGACTTTTGCTACTACAAATACATGATATTACCCTATTTTAAAAGCCTCTGCTGTGGAACAGCATCTAGCTATACTACTTACTGAGCTGCAAGAACCCCTGCTTGTGGGGGGGAATTGTGGAAGAGCAGCCAGGGAGCCAAGAAATGGCATCAAGGTGTCCTGGTTTCACTAGGATGAAGCTAGTGAACAGTGCTGTGTTTTGGTTTCAGTGTGGGATTTGTTATGAGAAGAATGTTCATAATATACTGAAGTTTTCAGTTGTCACTGGAAGTGGAAGGACTTTCCAACTTGCCCATGTTGTGTTAGTCTGCAGCTGCAAGGTCTGGGGCAGGGGGAAGAGTATTAAAATTAGTAACTCAAACTGACATTTGGATATGCCAATGGGATGGATATTCCATGCAATATAATATCATGGTCAGTATATTAATGAGGGTTGACCAGAAAGCTGGGAGGATTCTCCTGGGGCTTGCTCAGGCTCACTCTTCCAGGATCGCAGTTTCAGTTTTGGGATTGTCTCTGCTCTGGGATCACCAGCTGTGGACAGGCTGGGCATCAGCTGGTGGGTGGTAAGCAATAGCAATGTGCATCACTCATTTGAATATTCCATTATTACTGTCATTATAATTACTATTTGAATTGTTATTTAAATTATGAAATTGTTTTTATCCCAACCCATGCTTTTTCTCACTTTCACCCTTCTGATTCTCTCCCCTGTGCCACTGGGGAGAGCGAGCGAGCGACTGTGTGGTGTTTGGCTGCTGACCAAGCTAAAACTTTTTATCCCAACCCATGCTTTTTCTCACTTTGACCCTTCTGATTCTTTCCCCTGTGCCACTGGGGAGAGCGAGCGAGGAACATAAAGATATTGGCTGCTGGCCAAGCTAAAATCACCACACAAGGGTTTGCTCTTCACTAACTTCCCTGAAAAACCCACCCTGGGACTAACTTCTTAGTGAAGCTGGAGGTTGGACAGTCAATGTCACGGGCAAAAAGCAGGACAGTTACACCACCCTGGGACTAACTTCTTAGTGAAGCTGGTGGTTGGACAGTCAATGTCAGGGGCAAAAAGCAGGACAGTTACAAGGGAAAAAGGCAACAGGTTGAAAGTCAGTTTTCTGAGTTAATGTACTGGAGGAGAGACGATGTGAGTTCAGTCAGTAAGCTGGACAACTGAAACTAAAGGGACAAATCAAAGATGAGAAAGGGGAAGCATCCAGAAAGTGAATGCTACATCCCTCCACTGGAGCCAGGAAGAACTGTCCTGCACTCCTTGCCCGAGTGCTCTGCAGAGAGACAAGAGAGGATTTTCTTCAGTCTAATATGATTTAGAAACCATTTATCAACTGACTCTAGTTCCAAGTTTTGTGGGGTTTTTTTTTGTTTTGTTTTGTTTTTTCCCCCCAAGGAAAGACTTTCTTCCTACAACCCTTACAGCCACTTCCAAATTACAGATGTAAACAGATGTTACAGGGTGACTTTCATTCTCCCTGTCTTTTTTTAATATAAATTAGATCAAGATTAAAAAAGACCAGTGGAGATATCTGAAGAGAGGATGAAAAGCTAAATACTCACACAACACATGTATCTGCAAACACTTTTTGTTTGGTTGGTTTGGGTTTTTTCATGTTTTTCACCATATGGTTCATCAGGGTAAAAGAAGAAGGGTAAAAGGAAGGGTTTTCAATAGGAACTAAACTTAGCAGAAGATGTCCTTGCAAAGTACACGCGATGGTAAGAGCATCAAAGGCGAAGATATTTCTTAAGCCACTGAGAAATACAAGTTGATTATAAAATTTTGACAACAGGAGTGGATAGCTGGAAGGACTCCCTTGACTATCCTGGCAAGAAAATAGAAGCAGAATACTGCAAACAAGTTCTCCTATAGGGAAAATTGCTTATCAGAGGGAAAACTGAAAAGCCTTAAGGTTACTGCACAGAATAACCTTGATTCCTCTGGTTACTGGCTTGCAGCATCCTCTGAAAAGGCAGGAAAGTGAGAAAGGGACAGGGTATTAAAATCCTGTGAAATCTAAGCACCTGCCTTCCACAGTGCAAAGCTCCTTGAGGAATGAGGTGAAAGAAAGATACATGGTACCTAAGGGCAAACATACATCCAGATGGGAGTGGGGAAACAACTGGGCTCTGTGGCACCACCAAATGCCTCAGAAATTTCTTAATTAAACATTTTCAAACAAACAGTGAAAAGCAACTCTATGGGTCTGATAAGTATAAACGTGCCCTAGAAACACATCAACTGAGGACAGAGTGTAATTTCAAAACAGATTACAGGAAAGGGCTCCCTGGATATTGTCCCAAAATCCTTCCAAAAAAAATGCAGGACTCTTCCCAAATAAAATTATTAAGTTTGAGATGCTGGAGAAAGTCATGGTAGATACTAAAATCCCGTGTAGTAGATCCACACTTCACTGGTGGAGAAAACCAAATTTGTTCACCTAAACCACGGTCTCTGAGTGCTGAGGTGTGACGCTCACCTGTCTGGACACAAGGAGACGTAGAGCAGAATGAGCAGCACTGCTCCAACTACAGTTGCCAACAGAGATCTCATCCAGGAGCTCAGCTGGCAGAAGTTACAGTACTGCACAATGGTGATCAGAATGGCGCAACACATGAACATGGTGTACTGCAACAGAGAGAGAGAGCGGGAGTTAGCTTCTGCTCGCTGGCTGGAGCACATCAAGGCCAGCCTCAGTTAAGAACGTGTGATATGAAAGAGAAGGATCTGATTCCATCTGTATTACATGCACAGTAAGTGATCCCTCACAGTGTCTGTATCAGGAGACAGCACTTGAAGATGGAGGTCCTCCCCTTCAAAGAGCAAGAAAACTTTTAGCACAGGCAGTTTGTCACAATTTTCCCCGTATTTTGTATGACACAATCATTATTTCAGGAACTTTCAATACCTTCAGCTTACCTTTGCATAAAGCTCAGCGCCTCTTCTTATTAGAAAAAGAAAAATAAAAAATAATAAAAAGAAGGTAAACGTTGATGGTAACCTCCTCTCAGTTACTGGGTTCAGAACTGGTCTGTTTCGAACCGGACATCAGCTGCATGGAAAATGTGGAACACATTCACCCTCAGAAACTTTGCCAAACTGCCTACCCCTAAAGCCATTCTTAGAGGACAGCATCACACTGGCCAGCAGCTGTGAACCCAAAAAAGGGAAAATTCAGTTTGATAACAAAGGGCAGGTTTCAGTCACTGTCAGCTGGTGCTGGGTAACACCACCACTTGTGCCAATTTGAAAGGACAATTTTAGATTTGCTGTTCCAAACACCTTATCTCAAAAAAAAAACCCCAAACCCTTTCCCTTTCCACATCTTTACTGGATAAAGCAAAGGAAGGGCAGGATGGATGTAATCCCTGGAATGTCTCCATCTCCCTGAGATACAATCTTACAGTGGTCAAACTTCTCAAGCTGATGAGCAAATTTTGGTTTTATCAAGAATATTCATGACCATCCAAGCTAAAACAGAGACACCACAACTGCACGATGGAGTTCTGCTCTAGCTATATACTGCATTTTACAATATCAAACGATCATTCTCTCCCTTCCTCTCTCATTTTAAATCTCCTTTACAGCTGAAGTGCAGAGACTGCAGATTAGCAATACTGTAGCATAACAAATAAGCATGTGATTCATGTAGACACAGTGTATGGGAGAAATAAAAAAACCCTACGTAGTTTACCATTTTTAAACCATAAGCACAGTTAGTTTTTTTTTTTTAAATGACTCAAAAATGGATAAAAGGAATTTCAGAAGTGTCCATAAAAAAAACATAATTTCAACTTACTTTTTTTCCCCCATTTCAGGTCTCCTAAAGTGGCAGAGCACTGGTTCTCACTCCAAGTGATGCCCCAGCATGAAGCCAGCCTATAGAGGGTCAGGAAGTGCTGTGTTTTACTATGTATGCATGGCTTTGGAAAGTTTTTTTTTTTTGTTGGTTTTTTTTTCCATTTCTGTTTTTTGTTAATTTTGATTTTAATTATTTTATATCCAGGGCGGGTATAAAATGCTATGAAGAAAAAAAAAACTTTGCAAAACCATGTCATAGTAAAATATGACACTTACCTGACCCTCTATAGATTGACTCCATTTCTTAGAGCTCCGTGATTGTTGAAACACTGAGCACAAGATGAGTTGGGACATCTCTTGGAGAGTGAGCCAACAACCCCACGACTCTGGAGGACCTGCAAGAGGAAAGAAAATGAAGTTCAATCTCCATTTGGTGATGAACACCATCATCTTACTGCTGCTGCCTGAAGCATTTCGACTAACTGCTTGATCTGAACAGGTATTGAGAATAGGCTAATAAAATGGTTCTTCCAACATTATTTTTAAAGGTTTGGAGAGATGATCCAGGATGGTGATGAATGGGATGATAGAAAAATCAGTGGACAAATTGAAAAGTTTTCAGCTCCCTTCAGTGTGAGGAAAACATTCCTACAATTGGTTTACTGGTAGTCAGAGGGAGAAAGACCATAATTGAACTTGAAAAAAAAATTACAGTTTAAAAATAGTTAACTAAAGTTCACAGAAGGTAAAAGCTACAGAATGATTTTAAACATGGGATGTGAAAGAGTATCAAATGCTCTCTTCTGTGACTGTGATAACCGTGGAATATATGTTTACAACATCAGGAAGGATCAAAAAATGTCTGGTCCACACGTTCCCATGGAACAAACACTTCCCAACACTCAGTAATAAACGGTGATAGGAAGGGAGATGAGGATCTGGTCGTTACCTATGGCCAGAGCCCTGAAACAGCAAGAGATTTGTGAAACAGAATTCCCTGAAGATCCTGGAAAGGACGGACCGTACACTGTGCTACCTGAGAGAAACCTGCAGAGACACAAACTTTCATCTCTGGTTCCAGTCCATTTTATTCACAAACAGTGTTTAAGCGTTGATTTTATGCTACAGGTAGCCTTTAAATTCAACTCTTCTTCCCTCTCCTCAATATTTAACCCCCTTGTTCCTCCCTTCTGAATGTTTTTATGAAAGGAGACACCAAATCTCCTGTGGACCTTTCTGTGGCTGGGCTAAATACAGCAATATCTTTATGTTCCTTTTCAAAAGACAGCTGTTGCCTTCCTTTAGCCATTCCT